TCTCCTTCCGGGCAGCCTCGCCGTCCTTCTTCCGTTCTCCTTCCGGGAAGCCTTGCTGAGCCCCCCAGCAAGGGGGGGTCCATTCCCCAAATCCTACACCAGCCAACTTCCTGCAAAAGCTTTCCATGTAGTAGAGCCTCTAATGCTCAACGACATGATGGAAACTGCCTTAGGGAGAAACCCCAGCCACTCTGCCTCAGCGTATGACCTGTGCATTCACCGAACCCCCATGATAAGTAGTATTTCCACAAATAGTGTAGAAATGCACTTAAAGAAGAAAGAATGAATTGTTCTACCTGCCTATTCAACCCTTATTTTGGTTTATACAGAAGACTTTTGTTTAGCTGCCTTCTAGGGAGATGCAAATTTTTACATGTATATATTTATATTTCCACTATGGTCTGTTTGTGCCCCCTGTAAAATCTGTAAGCTGATGGTATTAGGAAATGGGGCGGCCTTTGAGAGGTGACTGAGTCTTGTGGATGGAGCCCTCATGAATGATATTTGTGCCATTATAAAAGAGACCCCAAAGAGTGAGCTTGCCCCTTCTGCCGCATGAAGAAGCAGGGAGAAGTCTATACCTGGAAGAAGGCCCCCCACCTGACCATGCCAGCACCCTGATCTTGGGCTTCCAGCCTCCAGAACTGTGAGGAAATACATTTCTGTTGTTTAAAAGCCATCAAATCTATGGAATTTTTCTAATAGCAGCCTGAACTGATTAAGACAATTGCATATTATTTTTAAATTTTATATTTTGAAAATAGAAATATTTTGTGAATCAAATGTCCTTTCCACAGAACTACGTTCTCCATTTCTTTTCAAGACAATGATGACAGCTGCCATTTGAATCCTCCCATCAGCTAAATTATCCAAGCTTTTCCCAAAACCTTAACTTCACTCACAGGATAGGCAAAGCCGATTATTCCCAAACATATTCATTTCTTCCTATCCCTAAAAGGGACAAAAGTATTGCCCAAAGATAAATAAATGGGTATGATTAAAAAAAATAATAATAAGATTTATCCAATTCTCCCTACAGAATGAATGGGTTCTAATACTCTATTCCCTTAACTAGGACACAGTCCACAGATGTGTGATTTGGAGCAATGCTTCTCAAACTTGACTGTGTACACTGATCACGTGGAGGCGGTATGAAAATGCAGATTCTGACCCAGTCAGTCTGGGGTGGGGCCTGAGATTCTGCATTTCTATCAGGCTTCCAAATGATGCCAACCCTTTAGGTCCAAAAACCAGACTCTGAGTGGCAAAGTGGTAGAAGGCCGACGGAGAGGCACTTGGGTGGAGGGCGCGCGAAAGGAAGGAGCCCCATCGGCAGCCGTGAAGGTGATGGGGTCACAGCCGGAGGCGGGGAGGCTAAGCCCAGAGGCACCGCCTAGCTGCGTGTGACCGAAGAAAGGGGTAAGAAGCAAAGACAGAAAAAAGAGACGGGCGCCTGGGTGGCTCAGTTGGTTAAGCGAGTGCCTTTGGCTCAGGTCATGATCCCAGGGTCCTGGGATCGAGCCCTGCGTCGGGCTCCCTGCTCGGCGGGAAGCCTGCTTCTCCCTTTCCCGCTCCCCCTGCTTGTGTTCCCTCTCTCGCTGTCTCACTCTGTGTCAAATAAATAAATAAAATCTTTAAAAAAAAGAGAGAGAGACTATTATTAAAGCGGTTTGAATTTCACAACTACAGGAAGGGGTAAAAAATTCAAAGGGAGAGAAAGACATGAGGTCAAAGTCAGAAGAACTTAAACAGAACTCCGAAGTCCAGGCAACACAATGAACAAAACTACAGTCAAGGAAGAGAACACAGTCACTCCCTTGGAAGTCTAGTGAAGTAAGACAGACATGTCATCAAGTGCCAAACCAAGCTAGGACACAGGATTTAATTTTGCCCGTGGATTGAAGAGCTGGATCTGCTCGTGCGGCTTCATCTGAAAAAAATCACCAGTGAAATTTCACAGGAGTGGGAAAACGGGCCTAAAATGGGATAGCAAGAAAAAGGCCTACCCATCTGCTAGAACTCAAGCAGCAGCCACATCAGCATCCCTCCGCTGGGAGCAAAGTGGGCGGGAGACAGATGGACCAGGGACCCCCACACTGCTGCTGGGCCAGCCCAGCCAAACCTGCCCGACCGGGGCCTGACATAGGCCCCTCGTGTGGGATAGTCCAGGTTTGGTGGGGGACACAAAAACACACAGAGTATCCTACCACAGACTATCCTGGAA